AATTTACTGTTACTCATTAGTGTTCTTAGCATTTTAACAATAGAGGACAACATTCAGGACACGCCTGGGTGGCTCAGCCAGTTGAGCGTCCAGCTCTTGATTTCGGCTCAGGTCATGATCCCAGAGTCATGGGATTGAGCCCCACGCAGACTCCACGCGGAGTATGGAGTCTGCTTGAGATTCTGTCTCCCTCTGCCCTTCTCTTATGCACACTCACACACACACATGCTCTCTCGCGCTCTCTAAAATAAAATAATAAACTTTAAAAAGACCACATTCATTTCCAGAGTTCCATATTGCTGCGTTTTATAGTGTACAAATACTGGTTTTTTGAGAGTGTTCGACTTTGTCCAAACTTGTTGAAAACCATTATACCTGAACACACATTTAGCGTAACCTGTTTTTGTTTTTACAGGAGCCAAGCAATAAAAGAGTTCGACCTCTCGCCCGGGTCACATCCTTGGCAAACTTGATCTCTCCTGTAAGAAATGGAGCAGTCCGACGCTTTGGTCAAACAATTCAGGTAAGCAGGGGTGGGGCTAGGAGGTGAGTAACGTAGGAAGGGGGCTTTTCAGAGAAGCCTAAATTTGTGTTTTCCTTTGAGTTGGACAAACAGTTTTACACTATTATATTTAAACATACATTTTTTTAACATGCTGATAAGGAATATTTTTACCAGAACAGTATTTACATAACCTCATTATATTAAGTTACATCTTATATCACAGCAGAGTCTTAAATAGTTTTTATCCCCAAAAGGTAATTCTGACGGATAATATTTTAGAATGATAGATTGAAGCTTGGGCAGATAATTGTTTTATGCATTGAGAAATCTCAGAACTTTGTTTTTAATTTGTCTTTCCAATTTTTTTTTTAAAAAAAGAGAATAATTACTATCTCCTTTAAATCTTCTCTTTTGTTCACTTCTTTTTGTTTGTTTGTTTACTTTTAAGTCATTTACCCTTCGTGGTGACAGCAGATCCCCGGCTTCTGCCCAGAAGTCATCGAGCAGATCAACAGCCCCCACACCTTCCAAAAGGAGAAGCAGTGTGCTGTGGTCCGAGATGCTGGACGTCAGCATGAAGGAGTCTTTAACTACCAAAGAAATCAAACGTCAGGAGGTGAGCTAGCATTCAACTAAGAAATCCGTCTCATACTAAAAAATCGTCTTTTTTTTAAACGTAGGTTTTCAGAAGAATAGCAAACTAATGCCTAAGGCAAACTCAGCTTGCATTTTTATATTTGAGTGCTAATTTGTAACACATGCTGAGCAGGAACACTGTAATGGGTGGTGGTCATCAAAGTTAACTTTGATGGGGTCAAGTTCTAAAGCGTGTGGCAACCACTTAATGGAGATTCCATTCTGAATTCTGGTTTTCAGATTGAGTCCCTTTAAAGAGCGCTATTCATAACTTCAGTTAAATAATTCATGATAAGTATCAATTGTATATAATTTTCCTTTCTCGAAGGAATGACCTACAGTATTTGCTGGATTTTTTTTTTTTTTTTAGGCAATATATGAAATGTCCCGAGGTGAACAGGATTTAATTGAGGATCTCAAGCTTGCAAGAAAGGTCAGTAAATAACTTTTTATCATGTGCTCTAGTTTTAAAAAACTTTATTTAACAAATTATAAAGGATAAAACCTTCTTCTATAGTTTCACATCTCTTCAAGTATGAATATCAGTAGAGCCTGTTTGAGTATTAACATATACTTTAGTTTCTTTGATGTGTAATAAATGAAATCCACGCTAGCTTTTATGTAGTCAGTCATGCTTGTGTTCAAGAAGGTCTCTCATTATGTTTTATTTGCTTGATCGCTTTGCATGACCCACTTTTCCCCCTCTGATAGGCCTACCATGACCCCATGTTAAAGCTGTCTATTATGTCAGAGGAGGAACTCACCCAGATATTTGGTGATTTGGACGCTTATATACCTCTCCATGAAGGTAAGATACGCCATTGAATTCTCATTGGTATCTGAACAGCATTAGCAGAAGTTGTTTTGAATCTGAACTTCTAACTTAGCGTGGAGTTATTTTTTTAAATGAGCGTATTATTGGTATCTCTGCCTTTTTCCACTTCAGATCTGTTGGCAAGAATAGCAGAAGCAACGAAACCTGGTGGAACAGTGGAGCAGATCGGTCACGTTCTTGTGAACTGGGTATGAAGTGAGCTGCTGACACCAGATAGTTTTTACATATATGCCATACTCCTCATCTGTGGCAAATACCAGGTCCATTGGGTCCACTGACTGAATTCAGAAGACAGATAAACAAGGCATTAAAACTGAACAAAATTAGATAGCTGTAGGAAGTTAACAGTCTTAGCTTAAAAAGAGACTTCATGACTGATACGGGTTTGTTTGTTTTAAAAATATGATCCTCTTTGGGCACAGATCCCATTACGTGTTTTACTGTTTCAGTTAACGTTTGAGTGCCTGCCAGATGACAGGTGCTATTGTAGGAGGGACCATGGGGGGTTCCGTGAGGAGAGACATCTCTACACTTACACTCTAGTGAGAGGACAGTCGGGAGCACGAGCAGTCCCAAGGTTGGTGGTGACGGTGGTAGAGGGACCCGCGGTGCCCTGGGAAAGTGGAAGACTAGCATCCAGCCGAGGCTGGGAGAAGGCAGAGATCGTCGGTCTCCGGTTGGATTTAGCCAAACTGTAGGGAAATTAGGAAAGGATACTCTGATGTTGGCCCGGGATCCCATCCTACCCCTGTTACATCTGCAGGGAGGGCCTCACCGCTTATTAAAACTTTCAAGAATTAGCTATAAGACTTGTGTTGTTTTCACAGGCTTACTGATGGCCTAAATCACAACAGGAACTTACCGTACTGTGTTTTCGCTTCCTCTCCTTCAGTTGCCGGGCCTGAATGCCTACAAAGGCTACTGTAGTAACCAGTTGGCGGCCAAAGTTCTTCTTGATCAGAAGAAACAGGACCCGAGAGTCCAAGACTTCCTCCAGCGGTGTCTTGAGTCTCCCTTCAGTCGAAAACTAGATCTTTGGAGCTTCCTAGATATTCCTCGAAGCCGCCTGGTCAAATACCCTTTGCTATTAAAAGAAATTCTTAGACACACTCCAAAAGACCACCCTGATGTTCAGCTTCTGGAGGAAGCTGTAAGTCCAGTAGAAGATTCTTAACACTTTTCAAGTTTATATGTTAACTTGCCTTGGAAAGGTATATACAGTGGTGCTGTCAGACGTCACGCGTATTGCCACACGGTGAAACGTTCTGCTCTTCTAGGCACCCAGGACGTTAGTACGCTAAGCAATAGAGAGACGTGTAATGCATTTTATAGTTATGTTTCAGGTAAAAGACTGGATTCTAATATCTGAGCCCTCGCACTAGCTAGCTGTGTGACTTTGGGCGGGTCACGCAGTTTGGCTAAGGCTGTTTCATCTGTAAAATGCAGGGACTAACTGAATGATCGGATTTCTAGAGGCCATCCGAGCTTTATCCTGTCGTTTTAATATGTTTTAGGCCTGTAAGGAAACAGTTAAGTTAATGTGCTGAAAATGCTTCCTTGATTTCCTGATAATTTTTAGATACTGATAATACAAGGAGTTCTCTCTGATATCAACTTGAAGAAAGGTGAATCCGAATGCCAGTATTACATTGACAAACTGGAGTATCTGGACGAAAAGCAGAAGGACCCTAGAATTGAAGCAAGCAAAGTGCTGCTGTGCCACGGGGAACTGAAGAACAAAAGTGGACATGTGAGTGTGTTTGCACACTAACACGAAGTGAGCGATTACCTTTATCTTCCTGCCGTATTTCATTTCTTCCGTGTAAATTATGAAGCAGGTTTGTAAAATTCATCACACAACGAAAGGTTACTGGTGTTTATTTTACGTTAACAGCTGTGGTAAAGCAGACTTTGGTTTCTGTTGTGACAGACTGACTTCAAATAAATGCCTTGGTGGAGAATGCTTAATAGTTGATTCTTTAGTTCTGAAGCATAAATCAACTTGTTTGCCTAGGGGTTCCTTTGGGAATGAATTACCAGTTTCCTAATAAAAGTGCATGTCCTTCAGAAAAATTTTTGAAGACTTCACAATGATGGAAGGAGCTGTTAGCACTACTGAACAACTTTCTACGGCAGAGGGAATGAAAGCAAACTTATTTTTTAAATATTGATTATAAAAGCGCCTGCTAGAACCAAGGATAAGCCTGGTGTGGTGTTTTTGTTCCGTCACGTGCTTTTCGGAAAGAAGCCCTTTTTTTTTCAGTTTATATTCTGATTTCCAGGTAGTCAGCCCGCGGTGTATATCGGCTTCAGGTGCACAGTGCAGTGATTCCACAACTTCCTGCATCACCTGGGGCTCGTCACGGGTGCCCTCCTGAATTCCCATCCACCCCACCCCGGGAAGCCCAGTTCATGAGTTGAGGTTCTTTTCAGAAAAAGTTGAAGCCCGACCTGTCTGATTTCTGTCGTGAGGCCTGACTGTTCTATAAAGGCTTACGGTTGTGTGGGACGAGGTAGAATCACTGGCACTTTCACCGGCTTGCGTTTCCATCCTCACTTTGTTAGGAGACCGTGGTGCGCGGTACTGGTGTCTCCGGTCACGTTCCTGCCGGTGGGTCTCCGCGGTGCGTGGCGTTTACTCAGCGGCAGCTTAATCTGATGTTACCCGCTGATAAAGATGGGTTCATACCGCCTGAGGTTCGAGCAGGTCTCCGCATAGGACGTGCAGAGCCTAGCAGGCGCTGCGTTAGGAGGTCGTTGGTAGGGCGATGGTAGTCCGTGAATTTGATGAAATTAGTAATGTCGAAGCAAGACATTTCCTTGGTGGGTTTCAGGCACTTTAGATCACCGAGTTCCACGTTGAGGAAGTATTCGTTTCTTGTTTCTCCAGAAACTGCACATATTCCTGTTTCAAGACATCTTGGTTTTGACGCGGCCTGTTACACGAAACGAGCGTCACTCTTACCAGGTTTATCGGCAACCGATCCCCGTCCAAGAGCTGGTCTTGGAAGACCTGCAGGATGGAGACGTGCGAATGGGAGGGTCCTTTCGAGGGGCTTTCGGCAACTCAGACAAAGGTACAGATGCAGAGTCTCAAGCCGTGTAAATACACGTAAGCTCAGAGCCTACGTGAATTGAGTTGTGGTCTCTAAGAATTGTGTCCCTGCACGAAACGTCTGAAATGAGGCGGATTCCCTTTTCTTGCGCCTGGTCCGCCCGCCGAGCGAGGCGCCGTGGTGCTCCCGCGCCAGCCGGCACGTCTGAGAAGTCGCGTGCGGGCCTCTCCTGAAGTGTCCGCCTGACACACGTGCACGTGACGGAGCCGCTAGCACCCGTGTGAAAACGTATGATTTTGTTCCCAGTCAACTTCCTAAAAGTCTTATTTACGTTTCTTATTCTTCTAGCTAAAAATATCTTTCGAGTTCGCTTCCAAGACCCGTGTCCGGGCCAGTCCCACACCCTGCAGGCCAACGACGTGTTCCACAAGCAGCAGTGGTTCAACTGCATCCGCACCGCCATCGCGCCCTTCCAGCCGGCCGCCGGCGCACCCCAGCCGCCCGCAGAGGGTGAGGAGAACACCCCCGCCGCCGCCGGGACCTCTGCGCTCCAGAGAAGGGCGTCCGTGGCCTCCGGTGTGACTCAGGTGGAAGTCGGCGGAGACGCTCCGGAGTGCAGCTCCCCGGGGCGCGCGCCAGATGACACGAAGGGTGCGAGAGCTCAGCAGACACGGTCCGGCTTCCGGAAGGCGAGGGACACAGCCCCGTTCGGTGGCAAACGGAAAGAGACTTTGGTATAAAGGAAGTTCTGTGTATTCACTGGTGGAGAGACTGTTTATTTATAAATGTGTACAGTTTTTTTTCGTGTAATGTGAGCGTGGGAGCGTCGCAGGGCTACTACTTACGACCGGTCCTAGCATTTTCTGTGTTTTCGGTTGGTTTTGGTTGTTGTTCCTTTTTTTTTTTTTTTTTTTTTTTTTTTTTTTTTTTTAATGGCAGCTAAAGATATACGCAGATTACTGTTAAACTGTAGCCCCCCCCCCTTTTTTTTTAAAGATGTTTTCCTCAGATTATTTAGAACATGCAAGCCTGGTATTTTTAATCAAATGAAATATTTATGAAATGGATTTTCTCTTTATTCTGCATTCATCGTGACTTTCTAATACCAACCAGTTGTGATATTTACAATATTTGCTAAAACCTAAAGTTTTGCAAATACAGGATTTTACCAGTGTTTCTTTGATAAACTTTACATGCAACTAAAATCTATGTGGAATATGTTTGTAATATTTCAGAACTTAACACTGAAACATAAATTCCTTGGAAAACAAACCATAAGAGTTAATTAAGTTTTCCATTGTATCAACTGGAATGCTTTATATTTGTTTTTCACTGCACATTCCTCATTTTTCATCCACTTAAACTGCCAAATACTTAATTTTTTTTAATTTGTAAAGTAGTTTTTAGTATTTGCTTTGATTTTTTTTTTACTTCAATGCTTTTGCCTTTTCGATTGGCATGTCTTTAAAGTATTCTTCCTCTTTGATTAAAAATGTGTATGTGTGTGTGTGTGTGTGTGTATATATATATATATACATATATATATCTTTTTTTTAAATCAGTGACTTTACCAAGTGAAACCAAGCCATACTGTTTTTGAGCCAATTAAGAAAATTGCAGTTTTTTAAAGTGTAGCATTCAGAGTGGAGACCACACATGAAATGACTCCGTATATACTGAAAGAAAACTGCCATAAGGATTTTGTTAAAAGTTTTAGTGTTGTCTGAAAAGCAAGAGGGAAGGCAACTGACCGGTAATAAGTTTAAAAAAAAAAAAAAAGGGTCTAAGAGAGTAGTTTTGTCTTAAAGTAAAAATGTCTGGTTGTTCCAGAACATGAAAGGAGATAGTAAAAGCTAAACTCGAGGGTGTGTAGTAAGTTGTAGAAGGCTTGGGGGAAGTGAATTTAATTTGCCTTGGTTTACGGGTTTGAGAAGAAGCAATGAAATGTGTGAACATTTGACCATATTAGATCAGTTCTGGTGGATTTATTCATAAGAGGGAAAACGACTGATGGATCTTTTACTGTAAAATGTTTCTTGTTCAGATGAGGCCATAGTCTTTAAGCCCTGTGTCATGGCAGATTTCTAATGGTGATCAATTCCAGTAAATGTTGACTATTATGTGAACTATATCTGGCCAGTGGAAATGAAAATTGAAAAAGACTGTAAATAGATAATCCAAATGATGTCTCTGTATAAATGAATTATACAATTAAAAAAAAAAAGCACACACACAATCACCTTCAAAGGTTTCTTGGCTGGTGGATGTTGGGGGATATTTGCCAGGAAATGCTGGTACAGCAAAGAGATAATGGCAAGCCTCACAAAAGTTTCTAAAAATCGTATATAACCAAACCTTTGAAATGCACTGGGGAGTAAGGGAAAGATTGAATTATAAGGTCAAATTTTGTGCATCTTCTTAAACCATTTAGAATGCAGTGTAATCAGAAATAGCTGTTGGATTGAAGATAGGTGGACATCTGGCCACTTTCTGGATATAATAGTAAAGCTAATAGCAAAGCATCCTGATGCATTTCAGATTTTGTCTTTTTTAAAGAATTTTTTTTTAATGTTTATTTTTGAGAGAGATGGTGCGAGCAGGTGAGGGGCAGCGAGGGAGACAGCTGATTCAGATTTTAATTTAAGCATCTCAGGTTTCTAACTCTGGAAATGCAAAGTCAAAAGTATAGGTTACACCAACAGTCATGATCTAAAAAGTCAGAAAGCAAGATTTCGGATCGTTTCTAGAGATGTTCTATAGAATATCATTCCTTCCAGAATCACCTTGATCAGCTTCTGAAGTTACAGAGACAAGTTCAAATGCTGTTAATGGAACGATTTTTTATCAAAAACTGTTATCTCCCTTTGGTTCACTCGAGGGAGAAAATAAGACTCAGAAGCTGTAATGAACACTTCAGAAATTACATCTGTATTTGAGACCATTTGATGATCTAGCCCAGTAGTTCTAAAACCAGTTTGGGCATCAGAATCACCCAGGAGTGGTTTTAAAAAATATATAAAGGTAAGTGGACCTATCCCCTAACTCCTCCCTGTACAAATACCCATTTCGCTGACTCAATATCTTGGGGGGGAAAGGGTGGTAAGAGTGAAGGCTGATGACTTATATTTGTAAACATTCCCTCCTAGTAATTCTGATACAGAGAATGCCTTGGGTCAGCACTTAGTAATCACTGATCTGGCCAAAAGATGTTATGTAAATGATCTGTAATCAGTATTGGCATATATCAAACTTTGGGTTTGCCTTAAAATATTCAGGGTCTGTTAAGTAAGTGGTATTTCTTTTCTTTCCTAATTTTCTTCAGTTAGTGTGCTTCTATACTTTGAGCAAAGTTAGTCTCTGCCTGGGAAAGTCTTTTTAAACTCGGTGCTCAGTCTCAGGATGTATGCACACAAGGTGGTAAGGGAAACTAAGGCCCCTGAATTGACTCAAGCAGTGCGTGGGAAGCCAGCATCATTAAATCACCCTTGAGTCTGTAAGACTGACGTTTCCTCAACCGAGTCAGGTGGCGGGTTACTTTCGTGCCAGCAAGATTTCTGTTCAGTGCTTTTCTCTGTGTGCAGATCCAGCACAGTACTTGGTTATTAAATATATAGAGAACCCTCATATTACTCAGTTAATTTTACAAACATCAGCAAATGCCTAATTAAGGGTTCCATCTGTCAATCTCGGTAACTGAGATGCAGGAAGACAGAGTAGGCACGTCTTAAGTTTGTCTTCATCATACTCATCGGTTTAAATTCCCACCTGTCCCTAGAGATGAAACTGGTCTTCGTTGTGTCTCTAAGACCAGGGGGTTCAAAGTAAATGATACCTCAACCTACTTGGGCTTTTCTTAACCAACATTCATGGACACCTACGAAAGAATACTATCCCTTTGTCCACTGAACCTAGTTCCCATGAGACGAGTATCCTATCAAAGAAAGTCTCCCTCAATCCAGAGGACTCTGGAACCTTCTAGATCCAAAGGAGTTTTGATTTTTGCCTGCATATTTGAACAACCCCAGAACCAACCACAAGTCTAAGGATGTCTCAGATACAAGTGATTCCTCGGGTCCAGTGGTACGTGATCTTGGGTCATGAGTACTTAGAGACTCTAACAGAAGCCATGGGCCCTCTCCCACCAAGAAAACATGTACATGTGTATACACACCCACACCCAATTAGGGGGGGTTCGGGGATATTCTCGAACCCATCTATTGGCCCCAACTTAAGATTTGCTCAAGTCTGTCCTGACCAGGACCTCTTTAGGGAAACATGAGATGGAGTCTCAATTTAGAAAATATATAAAAGGAAATAAAATATAAAGGAAAATATTAAAAAAAAAAATTGCCTCAAGAGAATGAGAAGACTCCACAGACTGGGAGAAAATAGACACATCTGATAAAAGACTATTAACCAAAATTTACCAAAAAGCAAAAAACTTTAAAATTTTACAGTAAGAAAATGAACAAACTAGTTAAGAAATGGACAAAGGACCTAAACAGACACCTTACTGAAGGAGATACACAGATGCCAAGCACAGGCAAAGACAGCCAACATCGTATGTCACTAGGGAAGTGTGTGTTCCAACAAGAATCCACCCCAACCCGTCAGAGCGGTGAGATCCGGGCCATTCAACACGCTGGCCGTGACATGGAACAGCAGGGACTCCACTCCTCGCTGGTGGGAGCATAGAACAGCGCGGCCACTTTGGAAGACAGTTTGGCGGTCTCTTACCAAACTACACGCTGCAAAACCCGCCATGTGGTCCGGCAATCATGCTCTTTGGTATTTACCCAAAGGGGTTGAAAATTGATGTCCACACACAAAAACTTACACATGGATGCTTACAGCAGCTTTATTCACAATTGCCAAAACTTAGAAACAACCAAGACGCTCTTGGTGATAAACCAATCATGAACAGTCTTCAGCACTAAAAAGAAATGAGCTCTCAAGCCCTGAAAAGACACAGAGGAATCTTAAATGCGTATGACTTAAGTGAAAGAAGCCAATCTGAAAAGGCTCCATACTGTGTGATTCCAACTTTATGACATTCTAGAAAGGGCAGAGCTAAGGAGACGGTAGAGCTCAGGGGTTGCCGGGGGTCGGCGTGGGAGACGGGACGAACAGGTGAAGCCCAGGGTTTTCAGGGTTATAGTGTGTGTGATACTATAACGGTGGATACATGTCACTGTACGTTTGTCCAAACCCACGGGATGGACATCACCAAGAGTGACCTCTAATGTAAGCTATGGACTTGGGGTGACGGTTCACAGACCATCGTCCCGCTCTGGTGGGGGATGTCGATGGTAGGGGAGGCTGAGGGGGAACGGGAGCAGAGGCTGGTGGGAAATCTACACTTTCCACCTGCTTTGCACCTAAAGCTGCACTGAAGAAAGTCTATTCTTGGAAAGAGAAAAGCCATTACCCAGACCCAGGAAAACATGTTGCAGTTAGGAAGACACATCTTTTAAGTCCTATCTACAGAGACCAAAATTGGAGTACCACTAGGGGTATCAGACATGGGATGGAAATGCTCAGTCAAGTGAGAAAAGTGACCCGCGTGGATGCGTCTGCGCCACAAGCCGCGCTCTCGAACCATGGCTGCTTAGGGAAACTGCGTCCCGAGGCCAGGGTCTCCACCTCTGACACCAGCCCCGGCCACTCGGAGCAGCCAGGGCCTAGGGTGTGAGGGTGAGCGAGGCCGGGCCCCCTCTGCTCGCAGGGGGCAGAGGAGGAA